AAATATTAAATTAGGGCTCCAAATTATAGTATATTTTGATTTTGCCCCTCATTTTCTATGGTTAATTATACTTTGCCCCCCTAATTTTCTTTGATTAATTATATTTTGCCCTCCTTAAGTTAGAATCCTGGCTCCGTCCCTGGTTACCATACTTCTCTTTCTCACCCACAAACGAACATGCAAACAAGTATTTGTGTATTGGATTTTTAATATCTGGTGATGAACCTCCAATTAACATAACTTTAATGGATTCCTGGAGAAGTAATTGATTGGCATGATTTATGTTCTAGCAGGTCACTTCATTTCAATTGTCCTTATTGGAAGATAACTATCGAGTCTTTTTTTTTCCTTCACAAAAAAAAATCTTCTTTTTTTTTGCAATTTTTTTTTTCATTTTTACTCTGCTATGCAGATCCAGCTGAAGAATTATGCCAAGAAGAAAAAATACTGTACAAATTGATTTCTGGTCTTCACTCATCTATTTCAATCCATATAGGTTCTGATTATCTACTTGATGAAGCCACAAACTTGGTATATATTATCAATTTTGTGTATTTTTATTTGTAGGTGCAAAATAGTTCTATATATAACATTTTTTTTTATTTCCTTATTTCAGTGGGGCCATAATCTTGACTTACTGTATAACCGAGTTTTAAGATATCCAAATCGTGTGCAAAACTTGTACTTCACATTCCTCTTTGTTCTCCGAGCTGTGACAAAGGTGAGTAGCATGAGTTCAAGTATGTGATAAATCTATGTTTATTTTTCAAGTATTTATTTATTCTGGGGTCAATTACTTCACTAGAGCTTGCTTGATTTGTCACAGGCAACTAATTACTTGGAACAAGCTGAATACAATACCGGTAATCCAACCGAGGACCTGAAAACTCAGTCCCTAATGAGACAGCTACTTTATAACCCAAAATTGCGAGCTGCATGCCCACTTCCTTTCAATGAAGCTAGACTATGGAAAGGACAAAGAGGACCTGAGCTGAAACAGAAAATACAAGCTCAGTTCAAAAATATCAGGTTTCTCTAATTTCCTAATTGGTGATGCATTTGAAAAGCTGCAATTTCTTATTTCTACATTATGCTTTTGAACATATAAAATGAGAAACTATATTTACTTAAAATCATACTTGTTTTGGCATATTAAGACATGCCTAAAATCATTTGAACTTAGCATTCTCAAGAGGAAACAAAATCTGAAATTGTAATATTGACTCTCTTTAGGTTTTTAGTAGCCTTCACTTGCAGAGCAACTCTAATTGGTTGTTTCCACTTCCTCTTTGATTTCTGACTTTTGATATCTGTGCCACTGGTTTAATCAGGTATTCAAATGATATGACAATTAAATTGGTTTTGTAGTGCGTTGATGGACTGTGTAGGGTGTGAGAAATGTCGACTTTGGGGAAAGCTTCAGGTTCTTGGACTTGGAACTGCGTTGAAGATACTATTCTCTGTTAATGGTGAAGAGCACTTGCATCAGAGGGTAAGTATTTCCTACTTTTGACTTTCCATTTTGAGTTTTAATTCCTTTCTATTGTATCGTTAAACACTCGAAACTTTATCATGTTAAAATCAAGGATCCTTTTCCAACTCTATTTGCTAGAATTTTTGTTGGAGAACTTTGAAAGCTATTGAAGCTCTATGAATTCCGACCTACAAAATGATGTCATATATAATATGTGGGAAAAAGAGCTAGAAACATTTAAAGTAACTTCATTTTCTGTTGCAGTTGATAGGCCGTTGGTAATTATTCTTTTATTGCTTGTGATTTTTGAATTGTGGAGATATCTAGGTTGCCATTAGCAACTAGTTTGTGTTTTGATCTGGACTAAAGCTCAGTTTATTGACTCATAGTTGGAGTTGCAACGAAACGAAGTGATTGCCCTTATGAATCTACTGAATCGACTATCTGAGTCTCTAAAATTCGTCCATGAAATGGGAGTGGCAGCTGAAAAACTGAATGAAGGGACGAGAATTTCTCCTATCAGGCTGTTCAGCCTGGTACAAAGGATGTGGGCGCCAATTGTTAAGACATAGGTAACACATTATCAGCATCCTCGCTTGTAACAAACCTAAACATGTTTGGCTTTTGGTTTTGCCTTACCCTCCACGCACATTATCATCAAAAGCTAGATTAGGGTTTTGATATCTTATGTAAAACAAGACTATTAAAAGGTAACAGAGCTACTAAAGTTATTATAACATATAATATGATTTGTGAACCACATTTATCATATGATCAAAAATTTGAATTTGTAGATGTTGGTTTTGAATTTCTACAAAAGAAATGTCTCCCTGCATGTTTTGTTTCTCAACATTTCTGAATTTCAAACGCTGGTATCAAAGTGCATTTGTCATAGAACTGAAAATAACATGAACTGAAACTAAATGATTTTTCGCAGGGGATTCATTCTCCAAATGAAATTGTCCATTTATGATCCAATAAAAAACATGAAGAGAAGTTTTATAATTCGATTCCATGAAAATTGGTTTTGGAACCAAGTAATAACAAAAGAACATAGCATATGCAATCTGGAACCACTGAAACTAATAATTTGAGTATCAAGTCTATAACAAGGTAGAGTTCTCCATCCTTCAGTTTCCTACCCCCTGAAGTTGCACTGTCAAACTATGTATTATACAATAAAACATTCAAGGACAAAGAAAACAATATAGGAAGAAGAACGTAGACCCTCTTCGGCAGTCATATGTTGACGCAATCCACTTCAACGATGGTCTCCAATTGCGGACAACTTGAGGATCTATGGTGAGATATCAGAAGGGGAGGTGCCACCTCACCCCATGTTTGTGTTAATCTGATGCCCTTCCCCATTTCCTGCATATAACAAAAAGCTTTAGGAAGAAAATGATGGTGATTAGGAAGCTTGAGAATTCCTGGGGAGAATCATTTGTCAAAAGCTTGGTGTTATATCAGGTTTAGATTAGGAGTTAATCGAAACTGGAGGCGGTTTGGTAACAACGAGCAACGTTGGATTAATCTATGATTAGTGCGAAGCCCAGGTAACGTTTGTCTTTAAATGTATTGGGACAGTCGTAAACTTTCAGGGTGACCGAAAATAGAATTGGTGATACGTTGCTAAAATTAGAGCAGCTGAATGAGTAGGAACAAATATCTGATAAACTGTTAACCAGATTTCATTGTTGAGTATGGATTAATGTCACGTATTACTTGCAAATATTTTATTTACATTCCTTGTTTGATAAATGATGCAATCGAAGGATATTGATATGTGACATTTCTTCTTCTTTTTTAAACGTATTTCAGAATAATCATTTGTTCTATAAAAAAAATCATTTGTAACATATATGAACAGCGATACCTGTAACAGTTGAGCTTGGTTGCCATCTCGAGGACTAGGATTTCAGTTTGTGGAGATGATGGCATGGACTGGTCCCTCTTCAAGCTTGTTCGTACATAGTAACTCAAGACAAAGCATTAATTCTGATTATCAACCAATGTTTTTATTCAAATGAAAATTCTCCAACTCTTTACAAAATCGATGCAAACAATCATACCCACCATACCAGTATCATAACATTGGTTATACTACCAAGTACTTGCATCTTCACTTCACCAAAAGCGAATCATTCTAATTATCAAAACTTGAAAAAAGATACATGTAGTTGGCGGTCACGATAGTGGCAGGAGGCGAAGAACCAGCAGCAGTCATTGCACCCACAGGGGCTGAATTAGTTGCAGTTGAGCTCTTGGAAGTAGCAGAAAGTAGTGAATCATTGTAGCTAGTAGCACCATCTCTATCCTCTTCAGTGATGGATTCCATCATCTTTCTTGTTCTATGCTTCATCACAGTTACAAACTGTGGTGGACCAACCTCCATAATGAACCTCGGAATACGTGAATTCGCCATGTCTAATGAGCTCAAGAAGGAAAAAGGCTAAAACATGAAAACCCTAGGAGGAGCTAGGATGTTACAATATGAAACACACTGGTTTCAGATGAGCACAAAATGAAACCATAAGGTAAGATTTATACCAACATTTTCGTTGGGCATAAAATTGAGTTCTTAATGAAAAGTTTAACTCCCAGTGCCGCCACTCACGGTTGATATTAATTTGCAAAAAGTATCATGATATTACATGCTAGCAATACAAGGATGGGGATCGTTTTATCCTTTATGTGTCGAAGTTTGAATGGAAAATGAGGTGATTTTTGCAGATATGTATTTTGTTGAGATTGATAGCTTCCAAATTTTCACTTACTGAGTTCAACTGGCACCAACCAGTTTCGTGCCATCTGTCGGTTGATTTTTCTCTTCATTGATCAAAAGCTCCAAAATTTTCACTTCTCTACCACACCTCGATTAGTAATCAAAATATTTGAAGGAAGGTCTGAATTAAAACATTGTTGTTTGACAAAAATGGTATATTTAATAAAATTTGTACTTTTAATTTCGTACGTGTGGATTAATGTTTTATAGTTATTGCCAAAAAGAATATAAACAAGTAAAACCCTTTCCTTCGAGAAATTCAATCTGATTGTGAACGGAAAGGTATTGAAGTTTAATGCAAGACAACAAACATGAATTATTATTGTAGATTGATAAGTAGATCTACATCTACACAAGAGAGCAGTATACAGATTCCCACAACGATAAAAAAAAGGCCAGAGTTTTTGGACCCTCTTTTCTCTATCACCAATTTCTACATATAACCAGCTGGTCACTTATCAATTACTGATATAACTCTCCATCCAAATCAGAAAAAGTGAATTCTCGGTAACCATTACAATCCATTGATTCCCACTAATAATTATTAACTCAAAAATAATAATATATATATATATTATCTAATACACTAACCACTATTTAAGCAAAGTTCTCAGGTGAAATCAACTATCATAACAACATAAAGAATATCTATGAAACTAACATGAATACAATTAGGTATAATGATATTCCATACAACTGTAACATGTCCCAACTTTGTTAGCACTGGGAACATCAATGAGCTCTCAAGATATTCCGTTTATCTGCACCAAAATCCGGATCTGTATGTAATATTTCTGGTTTCCGGCACCAAGGGTATGAAGAGGTCACACGACCTTCGGATGCCAAACTAGGATCTTTAAAAATGTAATTAGTGCCAAGTACAAGGTTATAAGCGAAAGTGGTCAATAAAATGCCTGATTATGAGAACATAACATTTTGTCTTCATGACAAAGGAATGCGCATCTCCATCACTGCTTCTGATGGTCTGTTTTTCTCTTGCTCAGTTTTGAAAACTTGGAACCAGTTTTTCTCTTACGATAAGCTTCTGATTCAACCGTCTCTTTCAGTTTTCCCAGGGCTGATGAATTAATATCAATAAAAACTTCAGGTAAGACTTGAGAAGAATCCTCTTTCTAATTCTCTAACGTGCATAGTAAGAGTCAAGTGGATAATTAACCCTACTTAACCTCCAAAAAGGTGGTCCTAAATATCCCCCCTCCCCCCAATCTTCCCACCCAGCTTCCCGAACCAAAAAGAAAAGAAGGATTAATGTGTCAAAGTATTTGAAAGAAGAGGCATTGTCTAGGGTGCACTCTTTTTCCTCAACCGAGGCTTAGGAAGGTTTTTTAATGAGACCCCTAACAATGCTTAGTTTCCTTTGATTTGAATAAAATTTTTACCTTTCAAAAAAAAAAAAGAGGCATGCAAATCAGTCCTCCCCCCAATCTTCCCACCCAGCTTCCCGAACCAAAAAGAAAAGGAGGATTAATGTGTCAAAGCATTTGAAAGAAGAGGCATTGTCTAGGGTGCACTCTTTTTCCTCCACCGAGGCTTAGGGAGGTTTTTTAATGAGGCCCCTAACAATGCTTAGTTTCCTTTGATTTGAATAAAATTTTTACCTTTCAAAAAAAAAAAAAAAGAGGCATGTAAATCAGTGGGACAAGTCCAAAGATGTTACAGCCATGGACAAGTAAAAGGGCCAAGAAATTACCGGAGTTATAAGTATCACGCAGTGACTCTATTGAACTTGAAGGAACCGAGTAATGAGGAACTGAGTCAATGTCTGCTTTCAGCAACATCTTCTTGAAACGTTTCACCTGAAACAAGTAACCAATAATTCTGTGTTTACATGTTTCAAACTGTACAAACATTTGTCTAACTGAATAGGGACAAAACAGAAACAAAAAAACAAAGGGTAAAGTACACAAATAGTCACTAAAGAATGTTGAAATAATCTTTTTGATCACTGAAGTATCAGAATTTACAAAATGGTCATTAAACTTGTCAAATTGTTACAACATGGTCACTGAACGTAATCAAATAGCAATGAATTTCAATAAGTTTAAGGACCATTCTATAATAATTTGAGAAAGTTTAATGACTATTTTGTAACCATTTGAGAAGTTTAATGACCCTTTTGTAACTTCCAAAACAGAGACCAAAGAGGTGTCTTATCCATATGCTCGTTGAGATATTATATCGGCTGTTGGAAGCAATGAAAAAAAACCACGTACCTCATGTTTATGTAACAATGTGAAGCAACGCCCAGCTTGACCTGCTCTAGCAGTCCGACCAGCTCGATGAATATAGGTCTTTATATATGCAGGCATATCATAATTAACGACGTTTCTCACCCCTTCAACATCCATTCCACGAGTCATTGCATCAGAACATACAAGTACTTGCACCTTTCCTTCTCGAAACGATTTCAACGCCTTGCTGCAGCACAAAGTTTAATTTCATTAGAAGTCATTGAGAGAACATTTACATCATCAAAACATATTGAAAGACTGTCATTAAAAAATAAATGCATGAAAATAATCCAGGCATTACCTTCTCAGAGACTGACGCTGAAGGCCCGAATATTCCTTTATTTTTATACTCAAATCACCAAAAAGGTTCAGTAATGTACAAAGACGATGAGTCGACTCAGTGGATGAGGTGAAAACAATGCACTTCTCTTCTCCTAATTCTTGTAGAAGGGCAACCAAATACAGTGGCCTCAGGTTGGATTCACATATCTGTCGAAAATACATAAAACTTTAGTACCGCCATAGTGAAAAAGAAAGCACCTGCAATAGAAACTAAAAACCTCCAAAATTTGCACCAGTATTTGAAATTATTGATTCAACTGAAACTTTCCTTCCAACCAAGTACTAAATATCTATAACACAACAAGACATCTTGATTTCAAAATATTTCAGAATTCAAAGCAGGAAAAGGATTGTAGTGAGTTGCTAATACTTGAAATTTCACAACAAACCAATGAAGAACTTTAAGCGAGCTTTAGCCATAGGAAAATCATTCCTGAAAGTAACTTAAAACCCCATATTATATTTTTTTTTTGGATAATTAAAACCCCATATTATAATTAAGTATGAAAAACGGAAGGAATTTGTGAATGCTTGAGCTAAAGAGGTTGAAACATTAATAGACTCACAATGACCAAAATGTATATATTCATAAGAAGAGTAACTGAAGCATACAAGTTTGTATGATTCCAATTTTTCTGGGAGCTGGTAACGTCTTTTCCCTGTTGTCAGCAGCAAAGGGTGATGGAGATTAAGCTGGGCAAGCTTGCTTGGATCTTGGGTTAAGGTGGCAGATAAAACCATCTTCACAAGCCTAGGGTGAGATTTACCCTTGAATCCCCTTTCGACACCACTGCAGCAGATATGTAATAAAATCATGACTGATGAGGGATAATTATATAAAAGAAAAAAAGATTCTCTGCTCCTCCAAACCATATCAAATCTCTCGAGAAGTGTTTTCAGCATATAATTACTTCGAGGATGATACACTTTCAATCATTTGGTCAAGGAACTCATTTACTATTCTCAACACTCAACAGTTCCAAAGGCACCAATGGAGGTGGTTTCAAGCATTTATAGATATGCAGGACGAGACCAATTTACACAACTTTACCAAATATTTTTCAGAAACCATATAATTAAAGAAAAAGGTAAAGGGTTGTAAAGTGCTTATTCCAGAACATACTGCTTGTCATATTTCCTTCTTTTCTTTTTCTTAGTCCTACATCTTTCACAGAAAATTGGTAAACCGCTCTTCAAAAAGAATAGATTTTTTTTTTGAAAAGGCTAGTAAAAACATGCCTAAACCCATCAATTTATCTTTCAAACATTCAACCCTGCAGGAAAGCTAGTTCTGGTATATATACATAGGTATGGCAGCACGTCAATGTGTCTGATACACATCTTACAGATAAAAATCTATAAACAAACGTGAAACTAAGTCAGATCATCTTGTATACAAGTTCATTGCTAAACAACGGATATCATAGATTATTAAGAAATGATACTGAACATAGAACTTACAATCTCCTTATGGTTTTTAAGGAACCAAAGGTAGATGAAAAAAACGAATTAGCAAGAGGAAAGAGGCTTTCATCATTAGATTGAGTCAACTGAAGTACAGTTGGCAGCCAAGACTGGTATGATTCTCTGAGCAGCCGATCTGTTTCATCAACTACCTGAAATAATTTAACCATCAGCATTTATTAACCACAAAAGCAATTGACTCAAAACTAAAGTCTGATTAAATAGTCACCTTCCCCTTATAAGCAGAAGCCATTGTATTACCAGATAAATCTGACTCCCAAAATTAGGAGTCACAAAAATTCAATGAAGTTAAATAGATATCAAGTAGAAAACATAAAGTCCACGTGCATCTGTAGGATACAAATTTTACAGGTTCTTAAAAAAATATTCTACAGCTATCAAAGGCATGGTTTATATCAGTGAAGAAAGTGTCCCATGTGTTTGTAGCATAACCGAAACATGTATGAAGACCTAATTACTTAAATCCATCTCAGTATTAAATTCATCTCTAGCAAAACCTTGCTGTGAAACTATCAAGTATCAGTCAGGTCACCAGTAAAATGTTTTGCATTAAATCCCATGGGCAATATTCAGTAACGAACATTCTAAAAATACAGTTGAAAATTGAGTCATAGTCCAATAATATTTTACACTGCATACAAGTAGTCCACTACTTACAAGGTAACAGAGATGCTCAAGTGTAAATCCCTTTGTGGAGTTGATATGGTCCATAAGCCTTCCTGGGGTTGCCACCAATATATCCACTGAACTTTGCAATTCGAATGTCATGTCTTCTGGGTCATAACACATGCCTGCCTCAAGCTTAGGTCTCTTTATAAGCTCCGCTATTTCATCAGCAATCGAAGATTGACCCACTGCTAAACCAACAGATAAACCTACTGCAGGTGCAATGGCTGCAAAAACTTCCTTAACCTGAAGAAAAGGATGAAAAATCCGACATATTAATCCTAACCGCGAGACAAAAACAGCAAAGTACCTTACGAAAAAGGAGGATCCAGATGACAAAAGAAAAAGCATAACAGATAGTTCATGCCATTGTAAAAGAATCTGAAAGGGAATTTTAGTTCTTTAGAAACAGTTCAACACATCACAATTCAGCTGCAGCTATGTACTGTTACTTACCTCTCACGGTTGCTTCAGGCAGAGAGACAGAACAAACAAAATGGGAATCGTTATATAAGCAAAGGGAATTCACCTGCAACGCCAAGTCACGTGTAGGTAAGACTACCAAAGCCCGTAGACATTTAACAGAACGAGTCGACAACTTCTGCACAATGGGCAAAGCGTAAGCTAAAGTCTTCCCACTTCCCGTTGGTGAATTTATGCAGAGATCTCTCTCGAAAGCACCAGGCCCTATTGTTTCTTGCCAAACTGCAACTTGCACTGGGAAGAGTGAAGAGAAACCCATTTTCTCTAGAGCCGCCTCCAACCTTACTTGCAAGGAATTTTAAAACTCGTTAATCTTCGAAAATAATTCCACATCCAAGAAAACTTGTGTCATTGAAGTCAAAATTAAAAACGATGAAAAAAAGGAAAGAACTTCTAACCTGGGGTCAAGACAAGGGACAAGATTGAGAGGGCAATCTTCAAACTGACTCACGTCAATTGGGCTTCGCATCCATGGAAGAATTGGAGTACTTTTTTTCTTCACTTCCATCGTTCTTTTCTTTTCTGGATCAATTTTTTACACACACAGGCACCCTTAAACCCTAAACCGCAAATCTCGAAACAAGGGTTTTAGACGCTGGTCTGGAGGGCTCGACTTACCGCTGCTAAGTTCAGATTTGGTTCAAGTCTATAACTTGATTTAAGAAGAATTAAAATTGTTTTATTAATCTCTTTATAATGTTAAGGTAAAAAGGTTGGAATTTTTTAAGCAATCTATTTGCTATGGGAGGGTTATAAATTTAATTCTTCAACTCTAGATTAATTATTTTTAATAAATGTTTTTTAAATTTCATTTTTTTTCAAACCTTAGTGTTCATTAAGGAATGGAAAAAAGTTATATTGTAATACTTTTTTAGAATACATATATCTTTAATATTTTTATATAAAATTTATAACAAATATAAATAAAAAAAATTGGAGTGTTTGCTGTTTGTATTGTATATAAATTATAGATTTAAAAATATGTTTGATAATCATTAAAATTTATTAATTTTATTGATTTAATATTTTAAGCATATTTAATAAGTTAAAATTAAAGATATTCTTTATTATTTTTAAATTTTAATGTATGTCGAAATTATCTTTTATTGACTCGAACGTGTTGAATCTTTAAAAGACTCATACAAAATTAGAGTCGTCATCAATTGTTTTATGTTAAATACGTACATATCCATAAATGTTGGTCTCAATCTAAACTAAAAATCAAAATTGAGTTTAGGAATTGATTATGCGTAAGAAAAATTAGAACATCCCACGGTATTAGCGCCTCCTAATCATTACGTTGTCTTGAAGAAAAAATATGTTTTTAATATTGCAAAAAGGAGAGAAAAAAATGTTAATAATAATAAGAGTGCTTTTAAAATATGCCACTACATAGAAAGAAAAAATATTCATTATAATAATTATATAATAATAAAAAAATCTACAGTGCTCGACGAGTATAATTAATTTAATTTATAAAAATTTAAATTAAAAAAAACTCAACATATAATTATAAATTAAGGAAAAATTTAAAGATAAATTATTTCAAACAAATGGTAAATTATACCAGTGACCACCTAACTATTATCCCTTTTCATTTTGACTAATATTTTTGAAATTTTGTCAATCAGATTACTCAACTATTTAAATACATTCAATTAAGCTACTTACCGTTAATATTTAATGGAGAAGTTGATGTGGCAGCTAAAATATTTGGTATAATTATACATTTGGTCACTGTTACTTGTATATTCTATCAATTTAGTCCTAATTTTATTAAATTAAAATAAACTTAACTCTCAAATCAAATGGTGCCATGTATAATGACTCAAAATTTTACCTTTTATTTTAATTTATTTTAAAATTAAAAGTTACGATATGTTCTATATTTATAACATGACCCAAAATTCAACTTTTTATTTAAATTTATCACATTAAGAAAAAATAATAACATCAAAATCCTTTATTTATTTATTTATGATTCCATAGTTCTAAAAGTCGAGAGTATGATCGATTAAATTTATAATATATTAATAATGAATATCGTTTCAGTTTTAATTAATATTAAGTCTCGAAATTGATTTTAGATAATTTATTTTTATAAAAATAAAAATAATCTTAATTATATATATCAGTCTTCTAAAAAGATCTCTTAATTGAAAAAAGTGGGAGACTATAATATTGAGGAAGTAGGGTGGTTAAGAAACACATTTAGGCGTGGGAAAACGTTAATATGAGGATTAAATTTATTTTAATTTATTAAAATTAGGACTAAATTGATAGAATATATAAGTAAGAGTGACCAAATATATAATTATACCAAATATTTTAACGACCACATCAGCTTCTCCATTAAATATTAACCGAAAGTGGCTTAATTGAATGCATTTAAATAATTGAGTAACCTGATTGACAAAATTTTAAAAATATCGGTCAAAATGAAAAGAGACAATAGTTAGATGGTCACTGATATAGTTTACCCTGTATTTTAAATAATTTATCTTTAAATTTTAACTAATTCATAATTATACGTTAAGTCCTTTAGAATTTAAATTTTTATAAATTAAATTAATGATTCTCGTCGTTAGTGGTGCTCATCTCTACTCGTCGAACGTAGAAGAACCATCCATATAATAAATAATAAATAAAAATATATAAAATATCGATAAAAATGCTTGCCACCTAAGAATGATTCAACAAAAGAAATAAAATATATATATATATTAATAACGAGAACAACAATAATAATATTTAATGCAGATAATAATTAAAAAAATAAAAATAATAATAACACATAAATGCTAATGGACCAATTGGCAAAAAGAAAAGTTAATTGAGTTAAATTAGCAAAGAAAAATGGGGGAAAAAAAAGGATTTAATTATAATAAAAACAGAATGGGAAGGAAAAAACATGCTAAAGGCGCGGGTCTTAATGGATGGGTCGGGTTCAGGCTCGGGTGAATGGAAGCGTTTCTACTTGAGGCTGTAATAACTCCGGCTCCAGTGCTGATGTTGCTGCACTGTGAATGGCAGCTTAACTACGGTGCCGCTGGGGCATATCACTGAGCAGATAATGCAGGCTGAGTCAGCAGCGTCATTGTATAATAAAATCTGGTGAATACATGTGGGACTTGACCTTTCTTTTCTTGATTGAAAAGCTTGTAGAATCACCTCATTGATGACCAGCATACATATGTCTTTTGACGAATTACAAGTGCTACTCCCTGCTTTCCAGTCATGTTCTTACATGCATGGTTTTGTGAGTTAACCATTACATTGAAGATGTATGATAGAATAATTAAAGTTGTTCGAGATGTGCGACACGTGAAAGGCCTGAAGAAAAATTTATTATCCTACGGATTGTTGGATAATAATGCTAGCAAGATTGAAACACAGAAAGGAATTATGAAGGTGTTCCGTGGAGCGCTTGTGGTGCTGAAAGGCGAAAAGATAGCAGCAAACTTGTACATGCTAAAAGGAGAAACTTTGCTAGAAGCAGAAGCATCTGTTGCCTCATGTAGTTCAGATTCTGCAATGCTATGGCATCAGAAACTTGGACACATGTCATAACAAGGAATGAAAGTCCTTGTGGAGCAAAAGCTATTTCCCGGCTTAACAAAGGTATCACTTCCTTTGTGTGAGCATTGTATAACAAGTAAGCAGCACCGGTTAAAATTCAATGGGAGAAATTTCTCATTGTGGAAATGGTATTGAATGAAATGCTGGATTGCAGAACCAGCACATGATGAACAAGAACCAGAGTGTTCTGAAACTCCAACAACTCGTCATTCAGATCGTGTGAGAAGACGTCCCAATTGGCACTCAGATTATGTTATAGAAGGTAATATTGCATACTGCCTTTTAACAGAGGACGGTGAGCCATCAACATACCAAGAGGCAATAAACAGCTCAGATGCTTCACTATGGATCCGATAGCCGTCTTCCGCAACAATTGCTTCTTTACTGGCTTGTGTAGCTGCTACATATTCTGCCTCTGTTGTGGATGTAGCCACAACTGACTGTAATTTTGAAACCCAGCTTACAGCTCCACCATCAATTTTGAACACATATCATGTTGTAGATTTGATTTTATCCAAATCCCCTGCATAGTCAGAATCTACATAACCATTTATTAGTAAGTTTGATCCTCCGTAACATAATGCAACATTTGAGGTCCCTTTGATGTATCTCAGGATCCTCTTTACTGTATTCCAATGCTCTTTGCCTGGATTCACCATGTACCGACTAACCACTCCCACTGCTTGTGCAATGTCTGGTCTTGTGCATATCATAGCGAACATTAAACTTCTCACTGCTGATGCATACGGTACTCGAGACATCTTCATCCTCTCTTTTTCGCTGCTAGGACTCATACTAGAGGATAATTTGAAGTTAATAGGAAGAGGGGTAGAAATTGGCATACAGTCTTGCATGCTGAATCGTGACAAGATCTTCTTCAAGTAATTCTTTTGTGAAAGCCAAATCTTCCTATTACTTCTGTCTCGGTGAATTTGCATCCCTAGAGACATAAAATTTACGTGGAAAACCCCTAAAATTTAGGGTAAAAACCACGGGCAACGGTAGAAGAATTTCACTATGAGAAAATAGGAATTACAACTTCTCTCTATCGACCAAGGAGAAAACAATGATAACTCTCTCTTGATAAAAAGAAGAAAAACAACTCTCAAGAAACTCTCTAAATTCTCTCTAGTATTGGAAGAAAGCTAGAATGCTTTGGGATGGTTTTGAAGCTAAATGGGATAGGGTATTTATAGCTAAATCTTAAGGACTTAATCTTGTAAATACCCTAAATTTTAGTGACTAAATGTTGTAATTATCCCTTGCATAATTCAACAAAAATAATTGTTAAAAAATAAATAAAAGCAGCCTAAAGCAGCCGGCTGCTATTTGATTTTTCAACAATCTCCCACTTGAAGATTTGATTGGAACAATCATATCTTCACATCATTCTTTCTACCTTGTACCTTCATGTTGCTTACGTCTTTGATAGGCCACAAGAGGATCGACACCAAGTAAATTTGTCGGCAAGCAGAAGCGTTGACAACGACGAGAGGGAGATCAACAGAACGTGGCCAAAGCATCAGTCACAAATATGGTAGATCGAAGTCCAGAAGCAAAAAGAATTTAAAGTGCTACCACTGTGAAAAGAAGGGTCACTTGAAGAATGATTGTTGGAGTCTCAATAAAAACTCCAATCCACAATGCAATACCGCAAACACTTCAGATGATGGAGATGCTCTATGCTGTGAAGCGTCAACCACCGTGGAAGGTAGAAAGAAATATGCAGATATATGGCTCATTGATTCAGGAGCAACATATCACATGACCTCAAGAAGAGAATGGTTCCATCATTATGAACCTGTCTCAGGAAGATCTGTGTATAGTTGCAATGATCATGCCTTAGAGATCGTTGGCGTGGGAACCATCAAATTAAAGATGTATGATGGAACAATTAAAGTTGTTCGAGATGTGCGGCACGTGAAAGGCCTGAAGAAAAATTTATTATCCTACGGATTGTTGGATAATAATGCTAGCAAGATTGAAACACAGAAATGAATCATGAAGGTTTTCCGT